TTTTAAGAATCTCATAACCATAGTCTTTCACCTTTCACACTTAGTATATACTTAATGAAATCTAATATTTTATTAGCAGTAAGAAACAATAGATAGAGTTTCATGTTCAAGGTGCTGCCAGCAGGCCATTATTGCTGAATTGGAGGGAGAGTATATTGTGAAAAGACTAGGAGGGACCAAGTTATAAAGAGCCTTATATCTCAAATGGGACATGGGAATGTGTTTATTCTGTAAGTAGTAGAGATTCCCTGGAGCTTCTTGAACAGTGGAGGTGAAATGGTCAGACTTATGCTTTAGAAATGTCACTTTGCCAGCTGAGTAGTGTTTTGATGTAGGGAGAGATTTGCGGTATGGAGACCAATTTGAATGCTATTGTGATATTCCAGGCAAGAGGTGATAGGACCCTAAATTTGGGTTTTGGCTATCAGTAGAGAGAGGACGACATAAATGAGAGACATTTTGGAAGGTAGAAACAACAAAATTTTGCAGTGGATTTATGAGTGAGATTGAAGAGTCAAAGATTACACCAAGGTTGCAGTCCTGAGCGAGAAGATGGTGGTAGCAATAATAGGGAAGTTTAGAAGTGGGGAGTATTGTGGGTGGTTATAAGGTAATGAGGTCAGTGAAAGATATATTTTTATTATACATATTTTATTTTATTCATATGTTTTATATATATATGTATTTGAGTTAGTTTGAGATATTAGTGAGACATCTAATTCTAGATATCTTAGAGGCAGATAGAGATGTGTGACTATAGCTTGAGAGAGCTATGTCTGTACGAAAATCATCTGAATGGAAATAGTAATTTTCCCCTTGGAGCCAGTAAGATCAAGTGAGATAATTGAGAGAAAGGAGGGTCCAGAGATAGAGCTTTGAAGGACACTATGATTAGTAAATATGAACTCAATGAAGAACCAGTGAAAGAGTATAAGACAAATAAGAGAATGGAAGAAAATAGTGTTACTAAAACCCACGGAGGAAAGAATATCCAGAAGGTGTGATCAGCAGAATCAGATGTTGTAGAGAGAGCCAGGATAATCAAATTGGAGAAAATGCCATTAGATGTAGCAATTAAAAGATCAGTACTATCTTTGGAGAGAGTTTCAACTGAATTGACAGCATCTGAAGCCAGATTTCAGAGGGCTATAACAGAGTGAGAATAAATAAAGGCACTGAGTGTAGATGGCTTTCAATGGGGCAGCTAGGTGGTGCAGTGGATAAGAGTTTGGGTCCCAGAGTCAGGAAGACTTCTTGCCTCAGACACTTATTAGCCAGGCAACCCTCAACAAGTCACTTAATCCCCGTTAGCTCAGTTTCCTCAACTGCAAAATGGGGGTAACAGTAGCACCAGGTTGTTGTGAGAATCAAATGAGATGATAATTGTAAAGTGCTTAGCATAGCACCTGGCACATAAGAAGTGCTACATAAATATTTGCTGTTATTATGTAAAGAAGAGGATTTATGAAGGGGAGGAGAAATACAGGATGATAACTAACAGCAATGATAGGATCTAATTATGTTTGTTTTGTTTTGTTTTTAAGAATGGGGAGATGAGTGTATATAGACAGCACAGAAGGTGCCAAAAGGAAGAAAGAGAGAGAAAGAAGATGATAATGTGGGGCAATCTGCTTGATAAGACAGTGATAGATTTAATATCACTTGTAGAGGGCTTGGCTTGGATAAGAGGAACCCAATTCTTCATCTGAAAGAAAGAGGAGATAGTGGGAGAAGAGAGCTGAATAAGATGAGATGAGGAAAATTATAGAAGGAAGCGTTCAGCAAATATCCTCAATTTTTTTTTTTTTAAATTTAAGTATGAAGTGAAATCTTTAGTTAAGAAGATGGTGGGAAGGGCAGCTCGGTGGCACAGCGGATAGAGCTCTAGCCTTGGAGTCAGGAGGACCTGAGTTCAAATCCGGCCTCCGACACTTGACGCTTACTAGCTTTGTGACCCTGGGCAAGTCACTTAACCCCGATTACCTCACCGGAAAAAAAAAAAGATGGTGGGGAGGGGGACCTGTGACAAAAAGAAGTTTGGAATAGCCTTTTAACATTAGCTGATTTAGGGGAGAAATCTAGTATTTGACTTTTGAAGCCATGAGGATCCAGTAGAGATTAGATAAAAATAAATTTATAGTGAACCCATTCAGCACAATTTCATTATTTACTATTGGTTCATGTAGCAACACATCAATAGAAGGTAGTTGGTTACAAGTTATCCAGGGTTGGGGTTTAGCATGGCTTGTTTAACAAATAGGACAAAGGATGGAGGATGTGGTCAAGTTAAAGTGATTCACCAAGGGGTTGAAATTGGAAAGAATTGAGAGTATGGGAAGTCCAGAAGTTATAACCTAGGAAAGAAGTAAAGGATAGAAGGAATGGAAGCAGCTACTGTGAGGACAAAGATCAGGGTTAGACATCATAAGACGCAGGAAAAGATTGTGATCATAGAACAAAGAAGTGAAGTTGATACCAGGATAAAAGATATGAGCATATATGTGAGAAACTGAAGTGGAACAGGGCATCATGGGAATTTAGTGGTCATTGATAAATTTAGAAGTTTATTTTTACAGTGGTTTCATTATAATGAAGTATAAAGCTTCATGGTAATGAACAACATCATGTTTCACTAAAGCATTTTGAAAAACTAGTGGGGGTTTTTTTGTTGTTGTACTGTTTCTACAACACAGGTTTTTCAAATTATGCATTTAGTTATTGAGACTAATGCCATGTTTACTTTATGACCTTATCAAGTTAAGTGAAAGGTGCACTTTTTATCTCATAAAGATTCTATAAGATATTCCATAACTCTTTGAGAATAGGCAACAGAGTACTGTTGTAGGATTTTTAAAATAATAAATAAAATATCCTAACAGATAAATAGGAAACTAGCCTAGATATCATTGACCCTATAGGACATTTGTTAGAATTAGTTGGTAAAACACACTCAACATTATGTTTATGACATAGTCTTTTGTCACTTTTTGTCACCTCTTTTAGCCTACCATTTAAAAGTGGTAGATAGTTTTAATATGACATCCACTGGATTTTATTTTCCATGAGTTTTCATGCAAAAGGAAGTTCTGGTATTTATATTCCCTCTTGTTCTCCTCGATCTCCTCGATCCCTTACCTGAATTAAGAAAAACAAATAATATTTTTAAATGTATTTTTATATTATATTGCTTTAAATGATACTCTACACATACTGAGTCCTCTTTATCAGGGAATATATAGGTTTTACTCCCAGGTATTTCTACTTGGTGCCTTCCTGCATCTCCTCTTTAAGGAACAGTAGAGAACAGCCTTTACAACAGATGAGGGAGGAAACATTTATCTTGACTTTACTTACTTCTTGTAAGTAAGTGACTTGTTCAATTAGGTCCTTTTACCATCTGCTGCCCAGAATTAAGCTTTATGGCACATAGTTTTAAGTTTAGGCTTGAAATTTTAGAGGCTCAAAAAGTATAATCTTTCATTATGTAATTAGGAATTCTCCTAAGCTTTCATGTCATTAATAATTATTAAAGAATTATAAATAAAATTTGGAAGCAGGAAGGACTTGAGTTCAAATCCTGCCTCTAGTACTTAATTGCACAGGGCAATTCATTTAGCCTCTGTTTGCTTCAGTTTCCTCATCTGCAAAAAATGGAGATAATAATAGCACTTCCCTCCCTGGGTTGTGAGATCACATGAAGTAATATATATAGTGTTTTGCAAAGCTTAAAATGCTTAAAAAAAAAGAATGCTATGTATTATTATTAAATTAGTATTATTCAATAAATATCCCACTGTGTGCAAAATGGGTGTGTTAGGAAACATAAAGGTTATTGACATAGTCTCTGACCTCTGAACAATCTGGTTGGGGGTGGGGGGGACTGTAAAACAGAACTAAATATACCTTGTGGTACAGAAAAGTTTAAAAACAACAATACACGGTTTTGTGACCTTGGCCAAGTCACGTCACCTCTGGCCACTTGTGCTCATCTGTAAACTGAGTAGTTTGAATTCCATGATCAAAAGTCCCTACCAGGTCTAAATACCTATGTATGAGCTTGTGACTTGCTGCTAAGGAAATCAGTGAATAATAACCAAAGAGGACATTGACATGTGTTTGGGTACCTCAAGTAGTCAAATTTGATTGGCCTGTAGTAGGGTATAAACAGGTTGAAAGTCTGTAAAGGTAAGTTGGGGTGAGCATGTGAAGGATTTTGAATTCCTGGTTTTATTTGGTAGGTAGTATGGATTCTTCAAATGTTTTAAAGAGAATCATTATTCTGGTAGTGCTATGGGAAATAGATAAACTAAAAAACAAAAGCTATTTTAGGAGTTCACAGAAGAGGTAATGAACTAAGGTGGTAGCAGGGATGCAACAGTAAGAAAGACAAGGATGGTGATGCAATTAACAAATGATTGGAGGAGGGGAGGAGTATTTCAATGAGAACTAAAAATTTAGTATTTCTATTTTATTTAGGTAAACTTGAAGCTTTTGATAAGCAAATTGAATTGAAACTCTATAAATATATGTGAATTTTGATTTCTGATCTTTATAGGCATTCAACTGGGCTTTTTTACTAAGCAAATGAAGACAAAAATGCTTATTGCAATGTTTTAATATCATTCTGTAGGTTGAAATTAATCATTCTTTTTCTGAATCTCTTGATAATATTTGCCTTTTTATGTAATGAATGAGTAAAATGATGCCAAAGAAAATAACACTGCATGTGAGTTTAATGTCATCATTTATGTCATCAAAGTAAATATTTAAAACGAACATTAAGAAATTGAACATTGCTGTAGTGTAGAATCTATTTCCCATGCATTAAGTGCCCTTTTTCTCTAAACCCCTGGTGCCCAGTAGAACAAAAAAATTTTCAAGCATACCTGCATTTAACAATCAATGTTTATCTATCAAAAGTATATTGGCACAAATTATTCTAATGAACTAAATGCTCTATTTTGAAATAATAAATGCTCTTCTATTTTTCACCTATGTAGGCAGAAGGAGAAGACAGCCTTAAGAAGATGCAGCTGATGGAACTTGCAATTCTGAATGGCACCTACAGAGATGCCAACATTAAATCACGTAAGGATTAGACTAGCCCAGTATAATAGCTGTTTCTGCTGTTTTTGTCAACAAACCTTTTTCCTTTTAGCAGGAGTATATATGAATAGTAGAAGATCTATTGAAACAATTGTGCATTTGGTACAGAGTTAACACTACCATCTTTAATCCTTTTGCAAATTAAGAACCTTCTATTTACATTATCATGCCAACATGTCTTGTGTTATGGTATTTTAAAATATATTTTTTTTGCTTTCCTTGTAAGTTCAAGCTCTAAACTTGAATTCCTACTTCATAAATAACAGTTTGATGTTAATTTATAACTCCAAATATACATACACACTTACATATATGTACATGCATACACACACATATATAATGTATTTTCAACTTTATAGATAATGAAGTTTGTCTGAATGAAACTTGATATTAAATTCTTTCCTGTCATCTTCCTTGCATGTCTTCCGTCTTTTTTTTTTTTTTTTTTTTTTTTTTTTTTTTTTTTTTTTTTTTT